AAAAAAAAAGCTTACTACGAGCCAGGCACTGTGCAAAAGCACTTGGTATACACAATTTCATTTATTCTTCAAATTACCATGATGATAATCATTATGCTATTGTTTCCCCTGTGTTCTGATAAGAAAACTATTGCTGGAGTGGATAAGTAACATTCCCAAGGTACATAAGACAGACATGGAGCTGGGAGCTGAATCTAGGCTAACTTCAGAACCTCCATGCCAAGCCACATTGTAGTCTCCCAAAATAAAATAATAATTAAGAATTTAGTTTAAAAAACATGAAACTATCTAATTTTAAAATATAATTCCTTTCTTCTACTTCCAACTACTTAAACTTCTAAGATGTGACTAGGTCTACTCTTTTGCTTGCTTCTTATTATTATCCAATAATCACCTTAAATGTCCAAGAAGAACCTGGAAAACCCATGCCTTTCTGGCTGGCTTTCACAACAGAGACAGAGAGATCTGGTGGCCTCTGAAGATGGTGCTTCACATATCTCAAGCTTTCTAAATATCTTCTTCTTTCTCTTCAATCTTTTCATGGCCTTCCTTTCCTGAGAAGTCCAGAGGCCCACTTTAATGCAAATATGAATGTTAGAAACTTTTTTCTCTTAAGGAGAAAAATGAATGAGAACCAGGTCCCTTGAAGATCCAATCAACTCACCTTATAAAGCAGGGATAGACTCCATGAAATAGATATGTGAACAATTTGTCTCTAAGTCTTTGCCAGACTTGGCACAGGCTGGCCCATTAGAAATAATATAATAGAATATTTTTTAATAATTCAATTTTCAACCTCACTTTGATCAATAGTTCATTACCTAAGTTAGATCTGCCAAACGGGATGAACTCTTCAGCCCATTTGTCCCATATTTGCATGAATATTATGCTGTGAATGTTACGCTCCTTTGAACTTCAAAAGAACTTCCTGGCCTCATTGACTACAACTTTAACAACAGAACATAATGGAGTTACAGAAAGATCTTTCCCTGGCTAAAGACCTCAAACCTTGCTGGGGGGTGGACAGTAACAAACTTTTACATAAGCAACAAATGGCTCATTCATCCATTGAAGTGCATTATCAGTATTTCCTGGTCTGGGAAGCCTGTCTTCTCTCTTATGAAAACAACTGTAACTGTGGCTAATTAGCTAACAGCAAGTGGCAGCACAAACCTTCACCATTTCTTGTCAAAGAGCTTTCCTCAAATAAAGCATTTTTTTCCAGCCCTTGTCATATTTCTTCCTTCAATTGAGAGAACATCTTTCACCATAAGAGTATTCCACCTACATTCCACCATGATGCCCCAAATAGGAGAGCAAACAGATGACAGAACCCCTTCCTTGACCTACAAGCTTATATTCAAACCAGCTCCAGAAAATATTTTGGGTTCCTTGGGTAAAATGGAATGAGACCACAAAGAGAGATATGAAGGTTTATTTCTCGTTTTCCCCAGTTACTTTTTAAATTTAAAAAATAAACCTGCTTGACCTTCATCAACTCCCATACCAACTACCCTTCTCCAGAACTGGACAGTAAAAACATGAGAAATGTGATATTCTTTTACTTTAAAAGACTTTTCCCTGATGAAAAAGCCATAATTGCCAACTGTGGAAACTTTGGAATAGATAGAAGCAGCACAAAGAAGAACAAAAATAACATTCATAATCTTAACATTCCGAGATTAAAAAAATAGTTCCCTACTGCATACCATGCATGAATATAAATTTCAAATGGAATAGAAAAATATGGATAAACTCCTAAATTTTGGCAGCAGCAGAAGAAAATATAAGACTATACGTGGGAAAAACCTTAGGAATAAGAAATCCAGCAGCTATACGGGAAATGAATGACAGATCTGAATACATAAAATTTTAAAACTTCAATATGAAAAATACAACTTATACAAAGTTTAAAGCAAATGACAGAATGAGAAAAATAATATATGTTATATAAAAGGCTAGTGACAAAATTTGAAATAACAAAAGGTTAATAAATAAGCTTTTATACATAAATAAGATATGCAGCCCAAATGAAAAAAAAACCCAGGTAATTCACTGAAGAAATTTAATTGAACTAAAATATTGTTGAAAAGATGCTACAGTAATAGAAAAATCAAAGCAAAACTAAAATATGATTTCTCATATTAAACAGTCCTCTAAGTACAAAGATTAATACTCTCCAAAGTTATTATAAATGGACTCCCATAGACAGATGGTGAGATTGTTAATTAATACAACTTATTTGAGGAGAAGTTTGGCAGTATTTACCAAGATTAAAACTGAACATTTTGGGGTTGGGGCTGTAGTTCAGTGGTAAAGTGCTTGCCTCACATTTATGAGGCACTGGGTTCAATCCTCAGTACCACATAAAAATAAATAAAGATACTGTGTGTTTATCTACAAATAAATATTTTTTTAAAAACTGAGCATGCACTTTGTCTACAAATTTCTCACAAATACTTTCATTAGTGTCTAAGATGTTCACTAATGCCTTGCTTATAATGGCAAAAATTGAATCAACCTTAATATCTACAAATAGAGACTAGCTAAAAAAATCATGGTACACATACACAATTGGAAGCTATAAAACATCAGAAAGGATATGGCACTGTTATATTGCAATGTTATGACATCAAAGGATATCCTACTCATATTGTTGAGTAAAAGCATGTTACAGGAAAATGTGTATAAGCTCCAATTTCTGTGAAAGAAAAAAACATATAGACATGTGTGTATGGTTTCTGAACCCAAAGAAAAGTTTTGAAGTGCATATAGCAAATCACTAGTTATGTTTACTTTTGGAGAATGAAATGGGAGTTAAGGGGTACATGTTCTTTATGCAGTTAGATATTTTCATTTTGTTTTGAATAATAAGCATATGTTAATTATAATTTAAGAAATCTAAAAATAAGTTAATTTATACATTTTCCAGAACCACCAAATTTTCATTAAGCAGTCCTTTCAAATGGTAGTATGATATTACTTTGATCATTTATGTAACCAATCCCCTATGGATTGACATTTCTGTTTCTAACTTCTCATCATTAGAAGTGCATTGTCTCTGCATACATATTGTGTGTGTGTGTGTGTGTGTGTTGTGTGTGTGTGTGTGTTTTAAGTCAACTTAATGGGACACACACTTTGAGGTTTCCTCTTTAGTAGAGATAACTTTATACATCTTTGAGATAGTCAGCTTGGGTGCAGCCACATAGAATGAAGCTCACTGAGGGAATGAACTTGGACTCATCTTATGACTATAATCCTGAAATATTAGACGAGAACTGGGTGCTTTAGGCCATCTGTTACACAATTGCCTTTATGCCACCTGGATATTAAAATGGCTGGGGACAAATTCATAGGCACTATGAAACATTAGAAAATACTTATTTGGGTGCATAAGTATTTTTAAAATTACAGCTCTCTTTGGTTTTTCAACAAAGCTTTAAGTTTCATGGACTATGTTCTTCAATACTTCTTAAATATCGAAGGCCTCACAGAAGAGATGGTCTAATTAGAGGTCCAAGCTTTCTCCATGAAGCCATCAGTAACAGGCCATAATGGAAGTTTCTTTCTAAGAGAGGAGGGATGTTTAATTCCTGATGATTATAAACGGAGCTAAGAATAAATCTACAATATTTCTATCACATCCACTTAAATCAAGAAGAACTTTTGGAAGAGGAAGGCTCTGAAGATGGACTATATTCAAGCAGAAGCCGGAGGAGGTAGTTTAAGGAATACAAGGAGAGAGGGGCATGGATCCAAGTTTCCTTACTGAGATCATGCCCTGATAAACTTCTTTTGGTGTCTCAAGCTTACTAGATAGTACTACAGAGCACTCATGCTTAAAAGCCTAACCAAAATCACTATTTCTCCTGGGAAGAAGATTAAGTTTACTATGAAAATCACAGTGGGACAGAAATGCATTTAACTATGGAATAAGCTTGGCACCATCCTCCCTGTCAGCAAGCCTTCTGCCTGATATATTTAACTTATGCTGATAAAGGAGATAAATGTTTAAGTGATGGGCTTCAGATGCTGCTGTGCTGCAGCTCCTACCAAGAATATTTTCATAGCTTCTTCTCATGAATAAGTTCAGTGGAGCAGAGAATGCCCCTCTTGGACCAATTCCATTTTGTGCTTCTTTCTGATGCAGCCATAAAGGGGAACTAGAGCTATGGTTTTTCCTTTAAATATAGAGCAAGCAGCCACCTCAGAAGTTGCTGCACTTGGCCTGATGAAGGTAAAGCCCATACTATACAAAGGCAGCACGAAGCACCTAACAAGATCAGAAAAGTCAATGGTTCCTCATAAATCTCCCAAATGTGGTGGTAAGGAGGGTTAATTATCACCCTCTCCTGCCACTCTCTGCTTTCTCCAATGTGTTAGCCAATCACACGGATCGCTGACTTTCTAGAAATATTCCCTGGCTGTGCAGGGACGTTCCTTTCAATAAATGACATCCAATTTACTAACGGTCCCTGGAATCTCAATTTCCTCAAAGGATTTTTCATCTGAATCCAGTTCATGTGAAGGTTTCTTCCTTCCCCGTTTTTCGGCACAAGGAAACAGGCAGAGCCTGCTTTACTTTTTCTTTTCTTTTTTTCTTTTCTGTGTTATTCTTTTTCATAAACTGAAAACCTTTTCTTCAGTATCTAAAATTTGGGAAAAAATCCAGCTCATCTGTCAGATATTTCTAGAGTTACGTAAAATGGAATGGGATTTGTACAGTTTAGAAAAGGAAAGGGGAAATAGGCTAATGTGTCATGTGTTCTATGAGATGAAAACTATATAATAATCAGAAAAACAGCACCAAACTTAGTTAGCCTTATTCAAAATCCTCATTCTTTTATCAACTCATGAATAAACCAGTAACATTCACTTTCTTCTTGTAGAATAGCAGAATGGCCACATTTGGGTTAAATCACAGTCCCTACAGAATATAGCCACATTTGCAAAGAAATTATAAGAAAGTATATTATTTTTAAACTCAAGACACTTACGTTTTACTTGTTCTGCTTTGCTTCCTTCTAGGAAAAGAGAGAACAACAGGAAGGAAAAGATGTATTTCATGCCTCCCATTTTCCACTTTTTTCTCATTTGGGTCACTGCAAAAAGTAACTCAGAATCTTCAAGGAGCAGTGTACTCAAGCTGTTGGAAAGAAGCAGAAAAAAAAGACTTAAAACAGATCCCTTGTAACGGATAGGGATCACTGATGCTTAGGGGTCTAGCTTGCTAGAAAAGAAGTGCTGGAGAATTTACATGAGTGCAAGCATTGTTTGCCTGCATAAGAAAAAGGACTGCCTCTCTGGTCTTGCAAAGATGTAAGAGAAAATTCAAATGAATGAGCATGCATCACTATCCAACACTGAACCTAAATTTTTACAAGCAAGTCATAGGAAAATAAAAAATAAAATTTGAAATCCTTCTTTCCAAGGGAATTAAAGTTGATTTCTCAAGAGATTTTTTTTTTTTGAGAGAAAAGAAAAACTGGAGTTTGCAAAAGGGCTATTTTGGCAAGCAAGGTAAAAATAATAGGCATGAGACTCAAGCAATTTCTGAAATAGAAGTTAATTAATCTAAGCTTCAAGACTACTGTTATCATTAATACTTTAGGGATCAATTACAAATTGATCAATATTTCTCCAGTGTCCTCTATGAGATCCATAAGGATCTTCCGTTTGGCTACTTACATTGGAAGAGAGATGTAACAAGCAAATGGATGCAATTCAACACCTGAAAAGTTTTATTGCTTAGAATGGTTCAGACATATTCCTACCCATAAAGTCCATTGTAAAATGGAAATTTAAAATGGCCCATTTTAAGAGAAGTTAGGCCAACCTAAAACAGGTCATTTATTCACCTTGTACTACCATGCTAAAGACCATTAAAAGAACTGCAATTCTTTAAAATATGAGATTGGCATTTCCAGTCTAAGGGGTAGAAATCTTAAGCCTTTTGAACCTTGGAGCACAGAAAGTTTGCTGTAGCTCATACTCAGTCACGAGTCATTTCCATGGACTTCAGAGTTTGCAAAATTCTTCCAATAGGAGATTGGAAAATATTTAAATAGTCAAGAAACACAACACTCAATCTGGGGTTAACCCTGACTACGAACTAACTCAATGATCTTTTCAGAAAGTCCAATTTAAATATTGGGCATGAAGAATTTGAAGGAATGCAAGATGCTCATTTTGGAGCACTGAATCTCTTTGGGTTCTGAAGTAGATGCCACAGCTCCAACTTTAAATGCTAGGAAGCTGCCAGCATCATTTAACATCCATTGTTTCAAATTATGCATATGTAACTGAAATAAACTGATCATAGAGAACAATTTATGCTATCCTGCAGGATTTGCAGTGGCCCATCTGCCTTCTTTCTCTACCTTTTCCGAGCTCCTTATAAAAGAATCAAATTCTCTTAAGACACTGTTCCTAGTTTCCAACAGTGAAGTCTTAGTCCTCTCCAAGAATTTATGGTCCAATTTCAATCCCTCAGAATATCTCTGTACCCTGAGAGCTACCAGGTTCCCCTGAAGCAAGACAATTGCATGAACAGTTAAATGCAGTTTCCCAACTTAGTGAGAGGTTCTTCCTGACTCTACTTTTATAAGCTTATACCCCAGGTTTCCAAAAGAGAGAGCTTTTAAACTGCTGAAGTCCAATTTATCACAATCATATATAGATCTCAGGGGGTATTTTTAAAACCATGGCTTTTGGGTCTCCCCATGCAAGAACCAACAGAGTTGTTTTTCTTGTACAATGGTTGGGCGGTTCGGTGAACAGTAGCATTGCTTCATAACTCAAGCTGGCAAGAAAACGGCCCTTAGAATTTTTTGCTTTTCTTGGGTCCCAGCTAATGTTATGAGCAAATAGAAAAGTTGGTGACTAGAGAGCAATTAATCTCTTTTGGCATTTCTGTCATCTGTGTGGCCTCCCAGGCGGTGATGGAGAACATCAGAAAATGAATCGCTTTATAAATATTCACTTTTGATTTACAAGATCCTGAAGTCCTGCCTTTGTATTCTGTGCAGAAATATGAACTGAGAAGAGTTCCCTTCCCAGGTCTCCCTACCATTCAATTTCTCTTTATCTTTTTAATTTTTTTTTATTTTTGGGGAAAGGGTGGTTCAAGACATTTGTTGGGACTGCAGGAGTAAACACAAGCAAGCAATGCTCAGCAAACATCCGACTCTTATTCTTGCAAAGAGCCAAACTGTCCTTAATTTTTCAAATTATACTTTGACCCAGTTAACTGGAGTTATTTCTGCATTAACTCTCTGTCGGCTTCACACAGGCTGTTGGGCCATCAAACTTGCACTGACTCTTTTACAGGTTACTTAGAAATGTAACCATTGACAAGTTTCAGGGGGATCCAGGACCCAACAAGAAAGCAACAAAGAAAACAAAATCCTACAATGAATACTGGGGGTGAGGGCTAGTCTGGGAGGGTTGTGGAATTTATAAGAGAACAGAAAAGTGTCTGATACTAAAGGAAAGGTATTGATTAAGGTGCCTGCCTGAAACAAGCATTCACATTGTTCCTTTACATCAAGTGAGGGGACCAATGCTCCTTGCCCAGCTGTAAATGCAGAGTAATCTGGGCCATCAAGTGACAGGAGCCCACACTCAGAACAGGTCTCCTAGGTAGAACAGAACCAAAGAGACATTCCCAAAGGAAGGCTAAGGGATGAGCACATGTTAGTCAGTTCTTCATACCCCACAGTGTCTCTTTAATCCTCCGGAGAGGCTTGACTGACCTTGTAATCTCACATTCACTATCATCTGTGGGATAGCCCCTAGGGTAGCAATTTTCTTTCTGACAAACAATAAGAAAGACACTAGAGTCTCAGGCCCTTGTCCATCAGCTGAAATCCTCTACTCACACTACCACCCAACAAGAAAAGCTCAGTTAACTCCTGGTGGGTTGCCACCAAAAAATGTCAGGGCTTAGCCCAGGATATGGCTTGTCAGAGGCAATATCTTCCTTGCTGCTTAGGAGTAGCAAAACAATGCCTTGTATTTGGCTTAAAAAACACCTTTCTATCTGTCATTTCACTTCATTCCACACAACGCCACCTTCAACATGGGCATGAAGAGGGCGATAGAGTGGGGGACAGAGAATTCAAATAAATTGAGCTAGTGGCAGGGATGGGAGGGACTGGAAGGCAGGTTTTCCAGGCCTATGTTCTAGCAATACCACTGTTTCCTGAGCCTAGAGTCTAAGTTCTGACCCCAGCGGCCTGGCCAGAAAATGAGGCAGATGTCCAGAGGAGAGGGAAGCCTCTTGAACTCCACCCAGTTTCATTAACTTTAACACGTATTAATCAGCCACCAGTTCAGGACACCAATCAATGAGAAAACAGGCTCTAGGACACATGCAGAATTATGGGGCCTGCAGAGTCCAGTTAGGCAGTTCCGCAGGGAGTACCCTAATGGCCTCTGAAAGCACCAGAACATGTAGAAACGTAGGCCGAGTGAGGAGTGGCGAGTTGTGAGTTCAAATCCAGAGCCCCCAACTTGCCTGGGTCCAGTGCCTTGGGCCCCACCTCCATCTCAGCGGCTGGCAGCTGGACCATAGGACGACTAGGGATGGCAGGTCCCAAAGTTCAAGGCTTCCTGGGGGAACTACCAGGGATGCCTCCAGCCAGCAGAAGGCACCCCACCTGTGCAAAGGCTGGAAAGGGACGTGGGGGAAGCGGGCGCCGAGCATCGCTCACTGACCTGGGCACTGGCCTCCGTCTGCCACGCGTGCACGCGCTCCGAGCTCCCCGGGACGCTCCTCCGAGGTCTGGGGCTCGCAGGTTGTGGCGAGAGCTACAGTGCGCGCGAGGGGGGAGGGGGGACTCAAAAGTGGGTGGGAGGAAAAACATCACCGCCCTCACACCACGAGGGAGCAGCGGCTCGCTCCGCTCCCGGGGGCAGAGCCAAGGCGCGGGCGCGCCGGCCCGGGGCCACCTGCCCGCCCGCCTGCCCGCTCCCCACTTGGCCCGAGAGGCGGGCCGCTCGCGACTGGCGGGAAGTCCGCAAGCACGCAGCCCCTGCAAGCACGCACAACAGCTTTATTCCTGCTCCCCCAACCCGAAAGTTTAAAAACCGGGAGAAAGTGTGAGGCTCAGCCGGCGACTTTCCCATCACGCAGCGCCCCCACTACACCCCCCCCTCCTTTGGCTAGGCGAGCGTTGGGGTCTTAAAGGGACCGCACATCTCCTCCGGCCCCTCCTCCCCCGTGCACTGGATGCACCTAGGAGCTTCCCACCGTTCGCGCGCGCCCTAAAGACCCTAGCTACCTTCTGTCTTCCCTGCCTGGAACCCCCTCACCCTTTCTCGCGAGGCAAAACGACTTTTGCAGGCGCACCTGGTACAATCCTGGTGTACTGTATACAAGTTGGGCTGGCCCGGCAAATTACGCCCTGGCACGTCGCTTTAACATTTCGGGACATTTCGCAGATCTTTATTGTGGCAAGTGACAAAGGTTTGGCCTCGGTAAAGACGGGATGGAGATGGGGGTGGGGTCGGCGCTGAAGAGAACTTCGAAATCTACTTTCTGCTACAAAGAGAGCTCCCAAGCCCCATCAGAAAGGGCCTCTCTACTAATTGTTAAGGGTCTTGAGGAAGAAAACTGCTTTAGCAGTCCCAGAGAGTCCAAGTTGGGCCAAGACCCCAACCTTAAAATCACCCAGCACTGCTGATGTCTTGATGAACCTGAGACAAACTACTCCATATTTGTATTCATTCAGTGAAGCATAGTTGCAAAGAATTATCAAAATCCTTTAAGGCCCCTGAAAGTGCTGCCTTAACAGTACCCATTTATATCTGTAGTGCCTAAATTTGGAGGAGAGCTGGTGGGCTTTTTTACATGAACTGCATAGTATCAATATTCCTAACGTGTAGATCCTTACTGGGTACTTTAAAAAAAAAAATAGGGCAGGGGACTATGGCAAAACTGAGGCAGCTCAGCGACCTCCTCTTTACCGCCATTCTTGAGATCAAGACAGGAAGATTTCAGATACATCACTTAGAGTAAGGGTCATGAATTCATTAGAAGGGAAGGAAAGGGTAAAAGGGGACTCTCTCAAGGGAGAGAGTGGGTTATCTCAGAGAGGAGAGGGGAAAATGTGTCCTTCTGTTTTATTGGGGGTCCTAGGAAAGTTTCCAGATAGTATCCACCAGGTCCACCTCTTGACTTTTTACCAACAGCAGAATGACATCAGAGTTTCAAGTCCCCACTACCATGACAAGTCTAGGTCACTTTGGCCCATGCTGACCAACTCTAATTGGAACCTGGTCTAACAGATTTTGTGATTAGGAGGAATTATCCTTATCTCCCTGAGTTCTGGGATCTGCTCTATGTAAGGGGCACAAAAGTCCCCCTTTTCGGGGTAACTTGTGTTCTTATTAGCATTTCAGGCCTGTATTCCTCCTGCAGATAACAGGTAGTTTGCTGAGGAATGTAACATATCCTGTCGACTTAAGCCAGTAAGGGATGCAGGTAAATTGCTTTTTAAAAGACAAAGCATGTGGGGTTCAGCATTGTGGGCCTGGTTTATAGAATTGTTCCCTTACAGGGCTGGGTTTCTGGCTTAGTGGCAGAGCACTTGCCTAGCATACATGAAGCCCTAAGTTCAATCCCCAGCACCCACAAAAAAAAAAAAAAAAAAAAGAATTATTCCCTTATCTTCATGTTCCCACTGCTCAAGTCTGTCAGTTCCCTATCACTGGCATATGTATTATATTAATATTATTTTTAAACCCTCACAAGAAACTGAACTATCAATGGCTTCAAGTGTGAGTTTCTGGAAACCATCTGAACCATTTGACTTAGTCAATGTTTTCATTTCACAGAAGAGAAATCTAATGTTGGGGGGTGGATGATGTAGCTAAGGTCACACAACTAGTAAATGACAGACATGAGATTCCAATTCAGAATTCCCAATTTTCAATTCTGATCATTACATTCAGTCAATAGCTGAAGAAATTGACACTCTGAGAAATTGTAGTTTGTCAAAAACAAACAAACAAACAAAAAAACACCACATATCAGGAACAGAGAACAAAGAAAATTTAAAATCAGAAATAATTGTTCCTGGAAGTTACTTCCTTTTTTCTTTCTTCGGAAGTGTTAATATCATCCAACTAGCCCTTACTTTGCTGGAGATGTTTATTTCACTGTTAACAAAGGAAAGGGGGCCCTTTCTGAAATGTTGCCTTCAGGGCCCAGAATGTCTAGCTCCATCCTGTTTCTTGGGTAGCCATACATTGCCACATGCATTCAATTTGTGCTGTAGTATATTAGTTTGAACTTGGTGATTTGTTGCCTTATAACTGTTCTCATGCTATTTAATGTGCTGATGTTTTGTCTCACTATACTGTGAATTCTTCCAGGGCAAGGACTGGTTTCAAGAAATAGTCTGGGACAAACATGGATCCTAGCATTTAAAATAAATAGACTTAATGGAATTTGAAAGCTCCATCTATTTATCTACAACTATTCACTCCCATTAGTTGATGTAGTATTCAGATTACCACATAATAAGACATTGCAAAATTTACTGGCTTAAAATAGTTATTGTCAATTGCTTCTATTGAATTCATTCTACTGAACTCATTCAGAATCTTTTATACATTTTCAGGCAACTATATATGGGTCTGCTGAAATTCTCTGAAAATTTCTTTATTATTGTAAATTGTGATCTTTGTGTCAGTTCCAGTCTTGATTTCTGAATTAGAACTCTGATTTGGGTAAATCCTAGTCTAGACTTCCTACAAGGTCTTATAAAACTAAACTCATGTTTATCTCCATGCTTTATTTTCTTTATTTACTAAATAGGGATGAGAACATAAATAATTTCATATTCACTTTTTAAAATTTATTTTTAAAAATTTTGAGATAATTGTAGATTCACATGCAGTTGCAAGAAATGATTCATATGGATCCTGAATATCATATGGATATGTCTTTTACCCAGTTTTCCCCCATGGTGACATCATGTACAACTTGAGTATAAGATCACATTCAGGAAATTGACATTGATACAACCCCTTCACCTTATTCTGATTTCACCAGTTTTACATGGACTCATTTGCCTGCATGTATAATTCTACGCAATTTTACCACATAGGTAGGTTCAGGTGATCACCACCACAGTCAGGATACAGAACAGTACAAGAATCCCCTGTGCTACTTTTGTACTCACACCCTTTGTTGTTTGTTCCTCCCCTTGTCTACTCCCTGACAACCATGAAACTATTATCCACTTCAATAATTTTGTCATTTAAGAATGTTACATATGGGCCGGGGTTGTGCCTCAGCAGTAGAGCGCTTGCCTGGCATGTGTGAGGCACTGGGTTCCATCCTCAGCACCACAAAAAAATAAATAAATAAAATAAAGATATTGTGTCCATCTACAACTAAAAATATTTTTTAAAAGAATGTTACATGGAATCACACAGTATGTAACCTTTAGAGAGTAGCTTCCCTGCCCCCAAACATAATCCTTGCTCCTTTTAATTACTGAGTAGCAACCCATGGTATGGATATGCCAGTTTGTTTAACCATTCATCCATTAAAGGGCCTGTTGGGGCCATTTACAAATAAAGCTGCTGTATTTGTCCACATGTTTGTACGTAAACAAATTTTCATTTCTTGGAGGAGATAAATGCCCAATAGTACAGTTCTTGGATTGTAAGGTAAATGCTTATGTAGTTTTATAAGGACTGTCAGGCTATTTTTAGATGTCTATGTCTACAGTAAACTGAGATTTGAACAGGATTACCCACCAGCAATGTATGAGAGATCCAATTTCTCTGCATTCTTGCCAGCAGTGGTTGTTGTCATTATTTTTATTGAATCATTCTAATACATATATACTGATGTGTCCTTGTGATTTTAATTTTCATTTCCCTAAAACCTAATGATATCTAGCATCTTTCATGTGAATATTGGACTTCTGTATACCTTTGCAATATTTCCTCTGAGTCTGTAGATCGTCTTTTCATCCTCTTCTCATGGGCCTTTATAGAACAAGAGTTTTTAATTTTGAAGTAATCTAATCCATCAAAATTTACTTTTATGGATTATGTTCTGGTGTTAAGTCTAAGAACTCTTGGTCTATCTATAGGTCCCATTTTCTCCTAAACTTTTGTTCTAAAAGTGTTAATATTTTTAAGTTTTATATTCAAATCTATGGTCTATTTTGTGTTAATTTTTATATAAAGTGTGAGGTTTAGGTGGAAGTTTACTTTTTTGGCTATGGATGTCCAATTACTCCAGTATCATTTGTGGAAAAAGCCATCTCTTCTCCATTGAATTCCTTTTACAACTTAGTTGAATATTGGTTAGGCAAATTTGTGTAGGTGTATTTCTTGTTTTTCTCTTTATCCCATTGATCTATGTGTCTATCCTTTTACCAGTACCACAGAGTCTTGATTATTATAGAAATATAGTACATCTTAACATCAAGTCAAGTGATTCCCCGACTGTATTCTTTTCCAACATTGCTTTAGCTAACCTAGGTCACCCAGATCTCCACACAAAGCTGTAGAATAAACTTGTCTATGTCTACAATAAATTGAAATTTGAACAGGATTACATTAAAACTGTAGATCAATTTGGGAAGAATTGATATTAATATGTTGTATGTTCCAAATCATGAATACAGTATATCTCTATATTAATTTAAATTTTCTTTGATTTCATTCATCACTGTTTTGTAGTTTTCAGCATAAATCTCTCATACATATTTCTTTAGAATCATACTTACATATTTCATTGTCTTTGGGACAATTGTAAATGTTATTGTGTTTTAATTTCTGTTTCCATATATTCATTGCTAGTGTATAAGCATGCATTGATTTTTGTGTGCCAATCTTCTGTACTATGTTTCAGAACTTATTTAATAAATCTATAAGTGGATGTATTACAGAATCATTAATATTGCACAATGTTCTGATGTCATAGATTTTTAGCTTTATAAATGCTTATTGTCCCACTGGAACATGAAAACATCACATTATCAAATTAACTTTCAAAAAGTGGCCAGACTCATAAAGATTGTGGCATAGGTTTATCCCTTTTTACAAAATAATTAAACCAACCTAGAATTTGTATTATTCAGATACTTCATTCAATATGTAGACATTAACAATTCATTCTT